TTTATTTAAAGAAGGATGACGTTTCGAGCTAGCGCTAGCTCGAAACGTCATTTTTCTTTAAATAAAAATATATAATAACTTGGCGATTGTTCAACCTATTATTTAATTTTGATATTTTCGTCGCCTATGCGGTTTTGACTATATTTGTATTTCTTAAAATAAGTACAACATCCTTTGTGAAATTATATTTGCTGTCGTTACAGGTTAATGAAGGATCACGAGAGAGAAATAATCCAAAACAGTAAAAAACAAATATAATTTTATTTGATATTAAAAATACTTTTAATGCATTATATTTTTTCTAAGTCTTTTGACTATATTATCATTATAAAATGTCCTTCATGTTCTGAAAATCAATTTACAACTATCCAGGACCCAATATGGATCTTAGTTTACTATTCACTCACAACAGAAGAGCATGCAGCATCTTTGTTATTACTGAAGTCGAGACAGCTGGATACAGTGCTCTTGTTATCTGCCACCTCATCAACCTCTGACTTCTGATCCAATCAGTGTATCACGAGTAAGTCAGTATGTACAAATAAGAATTTTCAGTGTGTTCAATGTAATTTCACATGGGAGACCACTACAGCTTGTTCTTTGATCGTTTGAACAGTTAAAGATGTGGACCTGTCCAGCCAGGACTAAGTTGCTTCTCCAGTACTGACACACATCAAAGGTAAAACCCAGTCCCCAAAGCTTAAATTTAAATTATATCATTGTTTCGTCATAACATCTCTTTGGAAACAAGGCTGCTTTACCCATCTTATCATAAACAAATTTATACGCATCTGCTAATGAAGACTTCTGGCAGCTCTAAAACATGTTTAGTTAAATAAGAGATGGACTGTATTCCAGTGTCAACCACTGGTTAAGCTTTGGTCAACATTATCAAGTAATTAGATGATTACAATTAAAGTCTCTGAAGGAGGACATGTTAGTGCCAGAAGAAATCAATCCAGGTTTGGATAATTCAAACTAGCAAAGGTAGAAGCTGCCATTGCCTGTCAGTCATCAACCTGTCTGCTGTTGGCCAGAAAAAAACTGTCGTTGTTCCTGTTACACAACAGGATACAGTTTCTGTTCCAGTATCCCTTCTATTCAGAGTGCTGTCTTTAGGATCAAACTGCTGCAACCACAGTGCAGCCACAATAATAGGCTCTGAAGAACATTGTCTACCAATTGGAAACCACTATGGTTAAATTGTGTTGGTGCTTACAGCAATAGAGCTGTAAGTTGAGGATTTGTAGTGTCATGAGATTTTGTCATCTCAGAACTACATTAAAAATAAACATAAAAAAAAAGGCCAAGCCACTTCAGTACAGCAGTTAGCTTCTTCATATTCAACGACTTGTTTAACTACCTGAAATTGATTTGCCACAGAAATAAGCGTAATCAGACATGAGATGCACCTGAAGCCTGTGTTTTTCTATGTGGATTTACTTAGGTAGTCCTTGAGAAACTTGGCAATATAAACTGCTGAGTTCAGCATCAGGCATTGCACTACCTCCGAGCCTTGTATTTCTACAGAACTACTTGCCTGAAATGCTTCAAAAAGTCCAGCACCCTCCTTTCCTATGCCTTTGACCAACATACAAGGTAACATTCTTAGACCCACTTAGCAAACAAGCCAGGTGTGAAAGATAGATAAGCTCTTACAGACAGTGTACAAAGTTTGAAAAAAATGCATAAATAAAAATATATACATTCTATATTATAGAAGAGATTGGGTTCATGATACTTACACATGAAAGACCTGAAATGATGATTCCAGAGATAATGAATTAAATGTAATAACGTTACAAGTGTAAAGAAATTACAAATTATTCAACAAATACTCTTAATCAATTGGCAAAAAATAGTCTATATTTTGACAAAATGAACAAGAACATTAGTAATAAGTGAAGACTTCTCAACATTTTCCAAATGAATAAGAATTACGTTTATTTTTTTAACACATCAATTTGATGCCTTATTTTCAGATAAATAATACAACTGTAGATAAGAGTCACAAACTCGAAAGCTACTTGGTAATTAATTTCATGCATGAACTCGTGTAGAATAAAGTAATCAAGTTAAAATAATAATTTAAGATTCCCATTTATTTGTAATTACAATATTCTTATTGACGTCAACATAATGTTTTAGGTCAATAAAGAAAAAACTCATTTCTATATATATAATAAAATTTGAAAAGCAGTTTGTGGCATTGTTAACTTTTCTTTCACTCAATAAAGCTAATAAATAAAAATGAATCTTATATTGTTCTTTGCAATTACAGATTTTCTGATGAACTGAGAGCTAGGAACACCACAAACCATTTCAAAGTTTTTTAAAAATAATATACAGGCTGTCTATCCACTAATAACATGGTTTAAAAATCTTACACAAACTCTTAGAATCGCACAAAAACAATTAATTGATCTGTCAAGGTACTATGCTTAAAATAGAGTGTACATGTTGTTGCGTGAAAAATTTGGTGTGGCATGTACAACACTTTCAACACATAGACTACTAAGAAAGATGTGATGCATTTTTACAATTTATATTTTTTCCTGGAAACCCTATATATATAGGCACGTAAAAGGTCATCTTTGATGCAATAGTCCTAAATATTAAGACCACAAATCTCAATCTAATGCATCAGCTCCCGGTTCCACACTGGATGATGGACACAGATGTGTCGTCGCAAGTTTGATTTTCTGGTAAAGCCTTTTCCACAGACATGACAACAATGATTTTCTTTATTTCGATGTTGAAAGAAGTGATGATTCTGCAAAGTGTTGGATGTGTTAAACAATTTACAACACTCTGGACACTGGAAACGACGTCCTACTGAAGTTTCCACCCACATCATTTTCCACTGATAGCGTGGACCTATAGACACATTAGAAGAAAAATTATAGTTACTTTTGAAATAGATTAAGTTACATATGATTCACAGAATAATAGACTATGACAGATATTGCTTCACTAAACTAGTCTCCTTCAATACCATGAACATATTATTTTTAAACAGAAATTTTAACATGTAATTAAATTTGATAATGGGTTTTACACATTGCAGAAAGTACAAGGACACAAGTGTCAGTACGAAGCCTAAAATACCATCACTTATAATACTCTCCACACAATTCCCAATTTGGATTTTCTAACAAAAAGAAAATCAATAATAATAATTATTTACTGCACCTACGATGTACTTTGAAGATCACAAGACTGACAAACACTTAATACACTTCTTCCTTCACTCCACTATCTATGAAATGAGCACATGAGGACGTGTATTTATGGTTGTTTGCATCTGCTGCAAATTAGAATGAAATAATATAATGCAGAAATAAAATTACACTTTCAGAGAGATTACTTGCCAATAATACACTAAAAGTATATGTTCTTTTACACTTTCAGTGATACTGCTTGTCATTCATATACTAAAAACCCATGTAATATCTCATAACCTGACTTATGTTCTTGTTAAACAAGCTGTTACTTTTATTTGGTTCTAAAAGTTTAAGTGTAGATATCAATCCTCATGTATAAAAGTAAGCTCTAGAAAAATTGTATTAAATATATGTTAATCATCACATGCATTTGAAATAATAAAATATGCACTTCAGTATCTGCTATATCATAACCGAAATGAATACATATTAGTATACTGGTTTCGTGTTTATATTTTTCAAAGTGTATCTTCAATACCTATAATGTGCTATTACAAAACATTTTTCTTTTAGAATTTAGTGGTTATGAATTAGGCACAGAATTCTTATCTTAGTTTAGATGCCCAAGTTCTAATCCACAAAACATTACAAGGCTAACACATTTTTGTTTATACCTGGTAGTCACAGAAATTTTAGTTCAAAAGGCCAGGTTTTAATCCAGAAAACCACACAAGTCTAGCACATTTTTGTGTTTTTATTTTTTTTATACCTGGTAGTCACAGAAATGTTCTTTCATGTTTGATTTTCGAGTGAAGGCCTTCCCACAGAACTGACAACTGTACTTGCCCTTGTTCTGGTGTTGATAAAAGTGATGACTCTGTAAGGCGCTGGATGAATTAAACAACTTTCTACAATCTGGACACTGGTATTTATGCCCATACGGTGTCTGAACCCTCATCATCTTCCAACGATATCGTGAACCTATAATCAATGATACAAGATTGTATTATTGATTGTAATATTCTTAATATCTGTAGTAATAATCACACATTAGTTGCAATAACCACTTATATAGTTTTTTTTTTTTGCTATTCCACACCTACACACCTTTTGTAAATATAAACAAGGACCATAAAAAAACAGCATTTTTTGTTTAATAAAACTGTATGTGATGACGCACATATAGCTTTTGAACTTTAATTTTTCATAATCACTGTCGCATGAGATACAAAGTATAATCTAGTCGTATGAAATTTATTGGTAATATAACTGATCATCAGCTGAAGTGAATTGTGTGAGTAAACATGCATTCTTAGAAATGTAATACACGGGTAACTAGCATTCAGTTTTCAGAAGCTACAAGGTTTTACAGCTTTCAAACACCTGATATAATATAAATGGTGTTTCTGTATCACAATATTTAACTGTTAACACCACAGCAGATGAGGATCTAGCACCACAATCTCACCTTTTATAGTTAATTTTTGAAGCTGCTGCCTGAAATTACGCTACTAACAGTCATTATTTTTATATTTACACAAGTTTTTACACTGTACCATCAACATGAAAACCACATTAAAAAAGTCAAATCCATCGACAGGATTTTTCATAAAATCTCATTTACCTAGATGGCTAAAAATCTTGCATTTGTTAACTTACACCAGATACATACCATCACATTGAGGTCACATTACAAAACACTGAGTGTGTAAAGTCTGAGTCATGTCAATATCGAATCAATATACATGTATATTGTGGCACCAAATCAAATCTGCATTAAAGGGATTCATGTAGAAAGTTGTTAAAATATATAACCATTAATTTTCATATATTATTTATGTAGCATGGAGATCCACAATACTTTCTTGATCAGAACTTAATTTTTGTAACATATTCTAAACACAGATAAATCTGTATAGATATTAATCAACGTAGTAATATTAGCAGTAGATTGTATGCAAGCATGTTCATTTCAAAAGTTTCAAGTAATGCCAATGTATACTTTCCTTCATTTAATTCAAACTTTCTGCCACAGTTACAATCATTTGTTGTTGGAAATATTTTACAATTACTTGTGCACTAATCTCGACTAGTGAAACATTTCTACCGGCATTGTTTTGTTGTTCCATTGCTAATATCTTCCTTTCATATTCAGGTTCCCTTCTTGCAATGTATATTTATTTGTGGAATTGCATTCCTTATCAATATCACTTTATTATGAAAACATACTTGCTTTCTGACCTTGATTTGACCTTTACATAAAAACTGTAAATTATTATATTGTGATTGGAAATTAGGAGCTACAGGATGGGGTATAAAAGGGTGCAGAGGTGCAATTTAAAATAAGATCAACAGATTATATGGCTTGGTTAACCATTGCACTTGTTGGCCACTTTATGGAATATAAAAAAGAACTTAAGCTTGGCAATGGACACTATAAACAACTGTATGTTCTGACTTGAAACAGAAATATGTGGAAACCTTATACATTTCTAAAATACAGCACCACTCATCCAAAACATGCTTCAAGAAGACTCGTATCAAACCATGAATCAAGAAAATTAATCCCAAAACATTCATCAAGAAAACTCATCCCAAGACATGCATCAAAAAGACTCATATCAAAACATGAATCAAGAAAATTAATCCCAAAACATTCATCAAGAAAACTCATCCCAAGACATGCATCAAAAAGACTCATATCAAAACAAGAATCAAGAAAATTAATCCCAAAACATTCATCAAGAAAACTCATCCCAAGACATGCATCAAAAAGACTCATATCAAA